TTGGTTTAAGAAATTTTAACTATGTATATATGCATGGGTTTTCACATGTGAGTGCTGTGTCCACAGAGTCTAGAAAAGGTGTCAGATACCCTGGATCTGGAGTTAGAGGTAGTTGTGAGCCACCCAACGTGGGTGCTGGGAACCTAACTCTGGTCCTCTAGAAGAGCAATATGGGCTCTAACTGCTGAGTCATCTTTCCAGCCACAGCTCACATTTGATGACTACAAACTTCTACAAAGGAACAATAATATAAGCTACTGTGTGGTGCCAGCATCAGGACAGGTAATGTGGGTTAATGACAGAATTCAAACTACTGGGTTTTTTTTTTTTTGGTTTTTCGAGACAGGGTTTCTCTGTGTACCTTTGCGCCTTTCCTGGAACTCACTCTGGAGACCATAATGGCCTCGAACTCACAGAGATTCACCTGGTTCTGCCTCCCGAGTGCTGGGATTAAAGGCGTGCGCCACCCCCAGGCAGGGCAAAGGTATTTACTTATAAAAATAGTCTAGCCAGGAAGTGGTGACACATGCCTTTAATCCAGCACTTGGGAGGCAGAGCCAGGCGGATCTCTGTGAGTTTGAGGCCAGCCTGATCTACAAAGCAAGTTCCAGGACAGGCTCCAAAGCTACACAGAGAAACTCTGTCTCGAAAAACAAAACAAAACAACAAACAAAAAGTCTAATTTTGATAATAACAAATTATATACTTTGTTATACAGTATATATTTATATTTAGTCATTGCAAATGCATAAGAAAGTACTTATTTTAGCCAGGTCAAATTACATGCTTCATGTGGTGCTGTGTATTAGCGATACACAACCTGCTATAATAATCTATGTTTACTACATAATAAAAACCCTGATTAAGACAATAAAAGCCAGGGCTGAGGATGTAGCTCCTTGGTAGAGTACTTGCCCAGCATGCAAATAGCCCTTGGCTAGATCCCCAGCACCACATAAACTTGGCATGGTGGTGCATGCCTGTGATCTCAGAACTCAGGAGGTAGAGAAAGAAGGATCAGAGAATTTCAAGATCACTCTCCAATATGTAGTGAGTTTAAGGCCTGCCTGGGATATATGAGACCCTTTTCCAAAATGTAAAAGAACAGAACTCCCCACAACTCACAATGAAAGCATTATTATTTCATTTTTCTGGATGAGGAAAGAGAAATCACATAACTAAAAATATGGCTAAGAAAAGATGAAAACCTGCAGTTGGCTTCAAAGTTTGTCTACTTAGCCAGTGTACTGAAATGGTTCTCAGTGATGAACCTTCAGTTATTAAAAGCAGCACACCAAACCCTGTTCAGTGTGCTCTAAGAAGACAGGAGAATAGTTTCCATTTCACTAGAAAAATGTTTTTATTTTTTACTTTTTTTTGCTTTTTCGAGACAGGGTTTCTCTGTGTAGCTTTGCGCCTTTCTGGGATCTCGCTCTGTAGCCCAGGCTGGCCTCGAACTCACAAAGATCCGCCTGGCTCTGCCTCCCAAGTGGTGGGATTAAAGGCGTGCGCCACCACCGCCCGGCAAAAATGTTTTTAGAGCTAACAAGACCACTCAGTGGGTAAAGACACTTGTCAAAGGGAACTTCATGGCTTGCTACCTAGCCTGATGACCTGAGTTCGATCCCTGGAACCCACATGGTGGAAGGAGAGAGTCAACTCTGGCGAATGTTCTCCAGTTTACTCCTCCCTCTGTCTCCCTCTCTCCCTCTCTTTCTCTCTCCCCACCAGATGTGCTTGCATGTGCACCTGCACACACAGATAAAAATAAATTTCTAAGATTTCTAAGTGAGTACAGTGGCATGCTTCTATTTTCGGTTTCTCAGGGAGGGGAAACAGAAGGACCACTTGAGCCCCAGAGTTTGGAGCAGCCTGAACAATATAGCAACAGCCCACCTCAATGATAATACCAAGCCCCAAATATATAAAATATTATATATATTAATGCCCTTTTAAAAAAGAAATTGTTCTAGACAACTGATTATCTGTAAGAGACAGTCTAGAGTCAAAACCAATCCTTACAATCTAACTCCAGTAATTCTAGACAAACCAGACTTCCCACATTCCTTAAACATACAGTCTGCAGGTTCCTGCTACTGTGTTAAAGGCTGACTTCTCTACCTAGAACAGTGGATCTCAACTTTCCTAATGCTTTGACCCTTTAATACAGTTCCTCATGTTGTGGTGACCCCCAACCATAAAATTATCTCGTTGCTACTCCATAACTGTAATTTTGCAACTGTTATAAGTCGTAAAGTGAGTATTTGATATGTAGGATATCTGATATGTGACCCCTGTGAGGGGGTCATTTCGTCCTGGGGTCATGACCCACAGGTTGAGAATCACTGGCCTAGACTATTCTACTCATCCTTCAAAATCTAATTCAGATCAACATTTCCTGTGTCACCTCTGATGCCATCCAATAGATAAAACTGCATTCTCACAGCAATCTGTACATATCCTATTAAATCCTTGACACATTACACTGTATTTTAGTATCTCTCTTCTTATCTCCTAAAATGAGAACCTAGTTTAAAATAGCTGATAAATACATTTTTAAGTTTTGCTCCTTAATGACTTAAGTTGATTTTTAAAGCCAGCTGCAATTCTGTGATCCCTAGTACTGGAAAAACAAACAAAAACAATATAAAATGATTAACTAGAGACTGAACCCAGGGCCTTGGGCATGCTATGAGAGTGCTCTACCACTTAAAGTCTCATTTGTATATGTGCACATTATATCCATGTGTGTTCACTTAAGAGTGTGCATGTGTACAGACAGGATCTGTCATTGAACTCGGAGCTCACCATCTTTAAACCGGACTGGCTGTGAGCCTCTGGGTTCTCTCTACTCCCACCACCTCCAGCACTGAAGGTTTTTACCCACTCAGCCATCTCCCCTGCCCTTAAGATTTCATTTTAACAAGTCCATAAAAATCTAAACATTTAGTAGAATAAAACACACCTGCATGTAAACCAAAAGACAGGTTTCTACAGACTGAATTTAGTCACTAGAGACCTTTCCAAAAAAGAAAAGATTCATATTATATCTGAATAATTTGTTATAGTAAAGGCAAAAATGATATGGCAAAAAAATTTAAGATGGAATTGCCAAAATCTAAGTCAACAAAGCCAAAAGAGTAGGAAACACCATTCAGGTTACTAAGGGAATCATGCACAGTAACCTGGTAAAAAATTACTATTCCTAATTCAAGACACTCTTCAAAAGGAAGTTACTCTATCTAGGACTTGAGAGACTAAACCAGGAGAGCAGTAGTAAAAAGTAAACCAGGATAAGTTCTTTTAAAGTATGCATTTCCAAAACCAGCTCAGGATACACATAGGCCAGCCTGGGCTACAATATGAGTCCACTCAAAAAAGAAAAAATTACCCTAGCAAAAACATGGTGGCCCACAGCTGCAATCCCAGTAACTCAGGAGACTGAGACAAAAGGATCATAGTGAGTTCTAGACAAGCCTGGGCTATAAGGGATATAAGGGGTAGCCTCAGAAACACAGTAAGACCTGTTTCAAAATAACCAGGGCAGGGATAAGAGGACTAAATCACTTGCTAAAAAAAAACTCCGGGTGCAGAGCTGGAATATAGCTCAGCTGAACAGTACTTGCCTAGTAATCAAAAGGCCTGGGTTCCATCCTCAGCATTTAGGGCAGAAAAGAACAACCGGAATTTATACTATCTGCTCCAGATAAGTTAATATTTGTTTCCAACTGGATAAAACCTATGATCTAGTTTTTTCCAGTAGGTATTTACAACCAAGCTAGTAACATGTAACATAGCCTAACCTGCATGTGGTGACAGGGCACCTGCCTAGCATGCATGAGGCCCTGGATTCCACCTCCAACACCAGGGGAAGGCAGGTATTGTGTGTTTGCCTCTATTTATTCCAGTTAAAAATTATTTCAGTTCAATTTGCTTTATTTAAAAACAAAACAATAACAAAAAAAAAGAGGTTGAAGGAATGGTTCAGCAGGCAATGGAACTTGCTGTCAAATGATCTGAGTTCAATACCCAAAACCCACATGGTGGAGGGAAAGAACCCTTACCTATACACTGTACACACGCACGCACATGCCTGCATATGTGTAAAAAGTAGTATTAAAAATTAAAAAATGCTAGGTGCCTTTAATCCCAGCACTAGGAAGCAGAGGCAGGTGGATCTCTGAGTTGGAGGCCAGCCTGGATTACAGAGTGAGTTCCAAAGAAACCCTGTCTCAAAAATTAACATAAATAAATAAAGTTTGGGGGAAAAAAAAAACAAACAAACAAAAAAAGCAATCTCAAGCATTATCTTCTTTGCCTTTATCTGACTTGTGATTTGTTAATCTGCTGCAGCTTCTGCTAAGATCTCATCTTTTCTCCTCAACCTCAGCTTAACCTCAACCCTCTTTCAAACTCTCATCTACACACAAATGTCTGCTATCTTTAGGGATCTAAAGGCTCTACTGCCTGCAACCTTTTTCATGAGTATAAATCACTTTCTTTCTTAGTTAAATCTGGTTCAACAATGGCCAAATGCCTACCAAAACCCATTTATATTAAATGTGAGCTTTCTACTCCCATTAAAATAAAATTCAGCCGGGTGGTGGTGGCGGTGGCGGCGGCGGCGGCGGCGGCGGCGGCGGCGGCGGCGGCGGCGGCGGCGGCGGCGGCGGCGGCGGCGGCGGCGGCGGCGGCGGCGGCGGCGGCGGCGGCGGCGGCGGCGGCGGCGGCGGCGGCGCACGCCTTTAATCCCAGCACTCGGGAGGCAGAGCCAGGCGGATCTCTGTGAGTTCGAGGCCAGCCTGGACTACCAAGTGAGTCCCAGGAAAGGCGCAAAGCTACACAGAGAAACCCTGTCTCGAAAAACCAAAATAAATAAATAAATAAATAAATAAATAAATAAATAAATAAATAAAATTCAAAGCAACTCAACTATTTCTAACTTTACCACCTGACAGTCACAGACCTGAATTAATATTTGTGCAGTATTTCTCCATTACCTAGGCTGAGAATTCTCCTCATACATTCTTTCTTTTCCTTCCTTGAAGAGGCTTATAGTCTGCTTAGTTTTCTTCATCAAATTCTCCATGAACACCCTAAAATACTCATTTTCTCCAAGTGTCTCCATCTTCCCCTCATATCTTGACAAGACAGTGCGGAGATGCTGGTAGGTGTCAGGTAGCAGGTCTAAGATATAAGGTGGGCTGTTCTTGAGCGCCAGCTTTGGGTTTTGACACAACCGCACCACCTGCAAAGGGAAAAAAAGGGCTATTATTCGGAGGACCTTAAGGACAGCTTTCCTTTTTAAGTTATGAGCTATGAAATATGTGCTGTTTGCATAAATATGAAAGATACATGAGGATAATAAATTATCTGTAACCCAATGCCATAGGCAATCAATCATTCTGTACTAGTGGCCCTCCTACACAGATGGGTAGTTTTCTGAATTATTTAAGTTACATGTATGAGTGTGCATGTGTTGGGGCATGTGCATGTGAGTGCAGGTACCCACAGAATCCAGAAGAGAGTCAGATCCCCTGGAACTAGAGTAACAGGCAGTTGTGAGCCACCTTGCTGGAACCAAATTTAGGTCTTCTGCAAGAACAGTATTGCACTCTTAACCCCTTGAGCCATCTCTCTAGCCCCAAGCCATCTCTTCAAACTCTGTGTGTGTGAGAGGACTTGGGGAGTATAGCTCAGTAGCAGAGCACCTGCCTACCATACACATACTGTGGGTTCAACCCCAGAACCTGGGGCAACAAAAAACTCTGAAAGATTAATAGTATAGACAGCACAACCAGGGATGAGGGTAGAATCTCCCACAAATGTGTGAAAATATATGCCAGACGAAATAAAATATAGCAGGCAGGGCATGGTAGCATACACTTTAATCCCAGCAATAGGGAGGCAAAGGCAGGTAAATATCTGAGAGTTCAAGGCCAGCCTGGTCTACACAGCAAGCTCTGTCTCAACAAAAAAAAAAGGAAGGAAAGGGGGGGAAAAAAAGAAGAGAAAAATAAAATTTACTTACAAATGTATAGCTGACAGGTGACCCCTCAACAAAGAAAGAAAATTCCAGCCAGGCATGGTGGTACATCCTTTCAATTCCAGCAATTGGGGAGGGGAGGGGAGGGGAGGGGAGGGGAGGGGAGGGGAGGGGAGGGGAGGGGAGCCAAGACAGCTAGGAAGTTAGGGCTGTTAACACAGAGAAACCCTGTTTGGAAAAAAACAACAAACAAACAAACAAACAAAACAAAACAAATAAAAAAACGCAAGAAAAAAGAAAATTTCCCAGGAGTATAGGGGCAAACAGTGAAGACATGGCCATCCTGGAAGACATATCTGTGTCCATAGGCTTGAGTCTTGGTAGCCACTAAGGAACAAGAGCATAAAGGCCTTGTGCCCAGCAATGCTTTAAAGTAAATTGAGATGCCCGTTTCTTCCTAAGAAAATGAAAATGCTCTGGTTTCTCTTTACATTACATACACCTATCACCTTTTATCAGTAAATTCAGAATTCTCAGGATTTGCTGGTAGTTCTTTTTCTCATCTTTTACTTTCAAATTTCCTGAGTTCCTGGTTTTAAGTGGGTCTCTTTTAAAATGAGATTTGTGTTTGGGGTGTTTGGCTGTTTTGTTTTTTTGTTTTCACTTTATTTTTATTTTATGTGTTTTGCCTGTATGCATATATGTGCACAATGTGTGTGTCTGGTGCCCATGGAGACCAGAAGAGGGTATCAGGTCTACTGGAACTGGAGTTACAGCCAATATGCGGGTGCTGGGAATCAGACCCAGGTCCTCTAGAGCAGTAGCTGCTCCTAATAGCTGAGCCACTTCTGCAGCCCTGCTTCCACTGTTTTCAAGTGTCATGTAGGCTGTCGTTGCCTTCGCATCTCAAGTGCCAGGATTACATGAATATGTCACCACACTCAGCTCTTAAATCTAGATTAAAAGTCCAGAAACAGACCACACAGACATAGATCTTGCCTTTGTGTCAAGGAAGTGGCATTTCTCAAAAAAATTGTTAGAATAACTGAGTATCCACAATGGGATAAAAAAGAACTAAACCATCATCTTAGCCTATCATACATTCTCTGTGGATTACAGACCCAAATGTGAATGGCAAGTCTAGGGCACTTTATAATACATGAAAACTAGCTGTATGACTTCATAATAAAGAAAGGCTTTCCCTAAACAGAACCATGAAAACAATAAACGATAAAGGAAAACATTATTTAAAGTCTACTACTTCGGGGCTGGAGAGATGGTTCAGAGGTTAAAAGCACTGGCTGCTCTTCCAGAGGTCCTGAGTTCAATTCCCAGCAACGACATGGTGGCTCACAACCATCTGTAATGAGATCTGGTGCCCTCTTCTGGCATGTAGGCAGAACACTGTATACATTATAAATAAATCTTTAAAAAAAAAAATTCTACTACTTCAAAAGTGGGGAGAGGCAAAGAAAAAAAATAAGAAATAACTTCTGTTTAACAAGATATAAAAAAGTCAGAGCATGGTAGTATATGTCTGTAAATTGCAGCACTTAGGGTGCTGGTGTAGGACACTTGTGAGCTCAAGGCAGCCTGGGCTCTATAAGAAGATCCTGTCTAAAAAATAAAAATTAAAAGCAAAAGAAAGACAACAGTCGGGTTGGGGATTTAGCTCAGTGGTAGAGCGCTTGCCTAGCAAGCACAAGGCCCTGGGTTCAGTCCTCAGCTCCAGAAAAGAAAAAAGAAAAAGAAAGAAAGAAAAACAACAAACAGTAATATCATTAACTAGTCAGAAGACACCTGCAGCATATACCTATCTAGAGCATATATCCAAATAAATATATGCAGGATACATAAACAACACCTACAAGTCACTAAGAAAGATAATCCAATACACAAGCTGTCAAGACTTAAAACGATCCTTACAAAAGATGGTATCAATAATAAAAGACACAAGAGGCCGGGCGGTGGTGGCGCATGCCTTTAATCCCAGCACTCGGGAGGCAGAGCCAGGCGGATCTCTGTGAGTTCGAGACCAGCCTGGACTACCAAGTGAGTTCCAGGAAAGGCGCAAAACTACACAGAGAAACCCTGTCTCGAAAAACCAAAAATAAAAAAAAAAATAAAAAAAAAATAAAAGACACAAGATGGCGCCCAACCCCATTACTCATTCTAGACTGAAAACCCTACAATCACAACAGACAAATAACAAATTGGCCACACCAACCAATGGCAAGGAAATGGAGCAAAAGACACATTTAAATACTGCCTACAACAACTTAAACTGACACAACCAACTTGGAAACAGATCAGCAATACAATACTATCAAGTTAAAAATTTGTGCACTGTGTGTGTGTCTGTTTTTTGTTTATCTGATTTTTTAAATAATAATAAATAAGTAAAAACCCAACCAGAACTCCTAAGTACTTTATAATATCTTAAAATATTTTAATTGTCATTTAAAATGAATGGCATGGAGTGGTCGAGCATATCTGCAATCTCAGTACCCAAGGTAGAGACAGGAATATCTCAAGTTTTAGGCCTGAGTTACCAACTCAAAAAAACACAGAACAACAAAAAAGTAAGTGCAAGAAATAAACTCAAAGGCTTCAGGAAGTCTCTGAAACTGACCAGATACCATGATCAGATGTTTTGCCACATGGCTCATAGTTTTACCTGTCCTCCAGAGGCTGGCTGGCATTTTTCCTGATTCCACCCTTCTTCCTATCATTCTCAGTTTGGCTTTTCCACCTAAATTCCTGCCCAGCTACCGGCCTGTCAGCTTTTTATTGACCAATGAGAATAATACATATTCATAGTGTAGAAAAGGATTGTTCCACAGCAAGTATACTGGGTCCCTCCTCCCCATCAAGTACAAACTATAATGACTGTCAAGAGACACGCAGATGAATTAAGCTGCCTAAAAGAAACAGAGACCAACCAACTGAGCTACCTAGAAAAAACATTCTCCAATCTGTTGAGCTGCCCGCAGGTTCCCAGATTTTGTGAGTTGGCATCCATGCTGGGGTGGGCTTTGGTAACACAGCTATCTTTGAGTCATTTCTGCTCTTATAAGTAATCCTTCACCCACACCTCTGTAAGTGACCTTAATAAAATTTAGTGGTTTGGGGCTGGAGAGATGGCTCAATACTTAAGAGCACTGGTTGCTCTTCTAAAGACTCTCCCTTCAGACTGCTAGCTAGCACCCACACGGCAGCTCGCAATTTAAACTCTAGTTCTAGTGTGTGCCTTTTCTGGCCTCCAAACACACAAGTAGTGCACAGACATACATGTAGGCAAAACACTCATACACATAAAATTAAAATTAAACACACCAACTCATTGGTTTACCATGTTGGACTTGTCAGTTCCCTATTTGGGATGAACAGATGTTTGTGCACATTTCCTTAAGGATAAACAGCATCCCACAACAGCTTTCAGCAGTGTTACCTTATAACTTAGTAGCTAGTGTTTTGTATTTTTTCTGCTTGATGCTGATAGTTTCCTCAATTTGTAGTTTGGTGGGTTTTATTAATTTGGAGACTTCTCAGACAACTTCTTGTTAAAAATTTTTCTCTGGGCTGGAGAGATGGCTCAGCGGTTAAGAGCACTGTCTGTTCTTCCAGAGGTCCTGAGTTCAGTTCCCAGCAACCACATGGAGGTTCACAACCATCCGTAATAAGATCTGGTGCCCTCTTCTGGCCTGTAAGCATGTATGTTGAACACTGTATACACAATAAATAAATAAATCTTTAAAAAAAATTTTTTTCTCTGCCTATTCTTTCTCAGAACTCTTCTAGAATTGAATTATGGATACTTACAACTACATTCCATCTTTTTGTCTCAACACCTCAGTATGGAATTTTCCTCTTACTTATATTCTACTGCACTAATTCTTTCTTCAGCCTAACTTATGCTCCTAAATTTACCCACCGTCTTAAAACTTTCTATTACATTGGTGGTTGAGGGGCATACTCATGTCATAGCATGTGAACAAACATCAGAGGACAACTTTCAGGATTGGGTTCTCTTCATCATGTGGGTCTCAGGGATCCAACTTGACAGCAAGTGCCTTTACTTACACTAAAACTAAAACATCTGGCCTGGCCAGGTGGTGGTGGCACACGCCTTTAATCCCAGCACTCGGGAGGCAGAGGCAGGTGGATCTCTCTGAGTTCGAGGCCAGCCTGGACTACAGAGTGAGATCCAAGACAGGTGCCAAAGCTACCCGGTCTTGAAACACACCCCCCACCAAAAAATC